TTGGAAATATCATGGCTTGTGTCAGGCGCACCTTAGTCCTCAAGGAGATATCCTTGCTCCTCAGCACTTGAAACAGTTCCTTCGCAGTTGACTTTCCCAAAGCTACATGTCGTCTAATGTCCTGACTGCTGCTTCTGTTGGCATAGATTGTAGAACCAAGCAATGTGAAATTAAAATAGACCTAGCCAAATGGATTGTGTCTTTTTTATTTGTTAGGTGCCATTGAGTTGATTCTGAGTCTTAGCAACTCAATGCACAATGGAATAAAACACTGCTTGGTGCTGCACCATCCTACAATGGACTGTGTGAGTCAATCATTGCAGTCACTGTGTCCATCCATCTTCTTGAAGGTCTTCCTGTTTTTTTGCTGACACTCACTTTACCAAGCATGATGTCTTCTCCAGGGACTGGTCCCTCCTGACAACACATCCAAAGTACATTAGATGAGGTCCCACCATTCTCCCATCTAACTAACATTCTTTCTGTATTTTTTCCATGACAGATTTTTTTTTTGTTGTTGTTGTTCTTCTGGAAGTCCACGATATATTCAGTGTTCTTCACTAACACCGTAATTCAAAGGCATCAAAGATTTCCTTCAATCTTCCTTAATGATTCTCCAGTTGCATGCTTATGAGGTTGTTGAAAATAGCTTGGGTCAGGCACATCATTGTCTTCAAAGAGATATCTCTGCTTTCAACATTTAAAAAAGGTCCTTTGCAGCAGGTTTTCCAAAAGCAATACATCATCTGATTTCACGCTGCTCCCATGGGCATTGCCTGCGGATCTAAGTAAAACAAAACCATGACAACTTCAAACTTCTTCTATTTATCAGCATGTTTCTTATTAGTCTTGTTTATTGATTCAGTTGTGAGGATTTTTGTTTCCCTGATGTTGAGGTGTAATCTATACTGAAGGCAGTAGTCTCTGATCTTCATCAGTAAGTGCTTCAAGTCTTCCTAACTTTCAGCAACCAAGGTTGTATCATCTGCTTGTCTCAGGTTGTTAATGAGTCCTCCTCCAATCCTGCTGCCACATTCTTCTTCATATACTCCAGCTTCTTATACACATATAAAAATAATAAGTCAGGACAAAGAGGAATCTTCTGTGTTTCTTATGAAATTGGTTAAAATGTAGGTTTGTATGAGATGTCTAATGTTAACCTTGGAACTTTGCACCCAGTCACTTAAATGTTAATCAAATAAACTGTGTTCAAGGCAGTTTAGCGGTTTGCAGACTCAATTTAAGCCAGTTGCATATGATCTTCCAATTCTCACAACAACATATTTCTTAGGGAAACTGTTGTTGAGAGAGTTCCACTTACTGGCTCAGAGCACGGGTGTGTGGCAAAATCACAACCTGAATTCAGGATTGTCTGATACCAAAGTCCACATCCCTAACTGAAATCTAAATGCCATTCATAATCAATCAAGGGCTGCACACAATGTGTGCTCCCCTAGATCGGCATTAGCCCCCATACATGGAGGACGGTGGACCCAGTGCCCTGAGTGAGGTACAGTGAGGGCTGGGATAGCTGACCCCACACCTGACGCCTTCCCTGGACATCAGTGATCCTAACGCCCGCCGGGGTGTGACTCTGAGAGGGTCTGAGGAGCACCACTCCTCCTGGTGGTTGGACCATGAAAGGTCCGTTTCACAGGAGGATTTCTCCTCTTTTATTTCTCCTCAAGTTGCTGTGTAGTTGGTCCTGTGGGACTTTCACGGAGCATTTATCATTAGCAGGGCTGGTGGCCAGAGAGTGGAGAGAGAAAGTTGGTGTGCATTTTTGCCACCAGTGAGCCATGACACTTTTCAAGATTTTTGGGTCACAGGGACTGCAATGACAGGGAGTAAAGAGTGACTGGTTAATGGGTTAAAGGGTTTCCTTTTGGGGCAATGAAAATTTTATGAAAATAGATGGTGAGGATGGTTGGTGAAATATTGGGAAGGTAACTAATATACCAAACGATGCTCTTTCAAATGCTGACATCGGTCATTTTTGTATTTTGTATATTTCATTACAATTAAACAAATATAAATAACAAGAGTGTGCCCACTTGCTGATTAACTAAGGTCCCCTCTAAATCCTTACAGAAGCAGGCTGCCACATCATTGTCCCACAGACAAGCTGGTGGGTTCAACCTGCCAAATTGGTTATCAGCAAAGCTTTGGAAACTCTGTGTCACCAGGGCTTCTGAAGCCCCTATGACAATGAGATAGTTTCCTACAGGCTCTGAGAACAGCCCTTCAGGCTCCACCCCTTCCCTGAGCGTCAGCATCAGAAAATCCATCAGCACCATGAAGACCCACTGTCTCAATCCTCAGCTGGGGCAGCAGGTCCGTGGCCTGTGGTCCCAAGGGGTCTGTGGCCAGCAGAGTGCGCTGTGGACTCTCCTCTCAGGACCCCTAGCTGGGCTCCCCTCCCAGCTGGGAAACCCCTCAGGGGCTGGAGGGGGGTCGAGACAACAGTGAGTTCACTGAGCCATGATGTGACTACAGCTGCCAGGACCCCCAGAGCCTTCAGGGACAAGGCTCCCCATCCCCTGTGTCCCAAGTCAGGTGACCCCTTCCACTCTTCTTACAGCAGAGACACTGCCCTGGGCTGGGAGCACTGGGGGTTCAGGAGCAGGGACATATTTGAATGTGGAAACTCCACCCACACTTGGGCCCAGGGAGAGAATAAGAGAGAGTGAGGGTGCCCAGGGTTCTTGCTGGAGTCTCTGGAGACAGAGCTCTTGTGCACCTACACCATGATCTGGGCCCCTCTCCTCTTCATCCTCTCTCTGTGCACAGGTGAGGGCCAGCATGCTCTGGGCTGAAGCTTCCATGGGGGCCCTCTCACCCCTCACCCACCTGAGCTCCTCCCCTTCACTCACTTGCTCACTGGTCTCTCTCTCTCCTCCAGTGTCTATGACCCAGGCTGGGCTGACTCAGCCCACCTCAGTGTCCAAGGGGCTGGGTCAGACGGCCACCATCACCTGCACTGGAAACAATAACAATGTTGGCAACCAGGGAGCAGGCTGGGTGCAGCAACATGGGAACCAGGCACCCAAAGCTGTGATGAAGAGGAATAACAACCGACCCTCGGGGGTCTCAGAGAGGTTCTCTGGCTCCAGGTCTGGCAATGTGGCCACCTTGAGCATCTCTGGGCTCCAGCCTGAAGACGAGGCTAATTATTACTGTGCTGCCTGGGACAGCAGCCTCAGCGCTTGCACTGTGGTTGAGGCCCACGGGGAAGTGAGACAAAAACCTGAGCTTCCTCCTACCTGCCTACTACCCAGAGCATCTCCTGCAATGGACCTGTGAGGACACGTCGGTTGGGTTCCTAGTGGACAATTTAAAGGCTTGTCAACTGAAGGGTCTCTGCTATGTCGACACTATTAACCAAACTCACTAAAGTCAGTTAGGAATGATTAGAATGATTCATTTAACGGACATTATATTGAACACAATTCTAACTCTACTAGGATCCTTTGAGTGGTGTGTATCCCATATATTCACTGATAAAGAGGAAAGAGGTTGCATATGTTGATTCAATTTCCATTTTTTCCCCCATAAAGGAACTATTTCAGAGTAATGCCCTGACTTAGCTGAAGGACTGTTTCCATACTCAACTCATCCCTAAGCGTCTTTTAATCCTACACAATCACCTCGTTTTCCAGTCTGTGGATGATCCCCCGTCACAGCGTAGATGGGCTACTTCCTGTGATCACTGGCAACGGGACAGTAAAGCCCCAGCAAAACTGCTCTGAACTCTGTCTCAGGTTTTGGGGATGCAGTCTCCTCAGTTGTGCTCTTAGAGCCCCACCGGCCCATTTCTACCAGTCCCTGCATGGAGCTGTGGGAGGGGAATGGAGGAGTGCAATGGGGCATCTATGCAGGAAGTCCCCATGAGGATTGTGGTTCTGGGGAAGGAGTTGGGCCTCAGAAGCCCCATCACAGGACTGTTAGCTAATCTGATGTCTCTGGGATTGATGGGAATGAGCTGTATTGAGGGATGAAGGGGTGAATGAGCCAGACCTTGGCAACAGATTGTACCAAGAACCGAAGAAAAGACACTTTAGCTGTTCATCTAAGTAAGTGAGACATCTTGCATTTGGCTTGAGCACAGCAGGTTGTGGTGAGGATGGGGTAAGAGAAACAGCTCTAGATGAGTCTGAATGAGATGAAAGAAAGGAGACAGGTCTTAGAGACAGGTCACTAAGAACACAATCTTCATGGATTGGAAGGCTTAATACAGCTCAGATGTCAATACTACCTCAGGCCATCTACAGACTCAATGCAATCCTCCTCAAAATTCCAACAACCTTCTTTGGATAAATTGAAAAGCTAATCCTCAAATTCAAATAGAAGAACAAAGGATCCCCAATAGCTAGAGCAATCTTAAAGAAGAAGAGTGTAAAGTAGGAGGACTCACACTACTAGATCTCGAAGCATACTTTAAAATTACAGTAATTAAAACCACCTGGTATGGGAGCTCTGGTGGCACAGTGCCTAAGGCATTTGACTGCTAACCAGAAGGCTGGTGGTTCAAACCCACCAGCTACTCCTCGGAAGGAAGATTGGACAATCTATTCCCATAGAGATAAGCTTCAGAAACCCAAGGAGGGGTCACTATGTGTCAGACTCGACTTGACGGGAGTGAGTTTGTTTTTTTCTGGTTGGTATACTGGTATAATAATAAACATTGGAAGGAATGAAATGAAATTGAAAGTCCAGAAATAAATCTGGACATCAACTTATTTTGGACAAAAATGCTAAGTCCATTTAATGGGAAAAGAAGAGTCTCTTCAATGCATGGTTCTGGAAAAGTTGAGTTTCCACATGCAGAAGAAGGAATGAGGATCCATACCTCACACCACACAGAATCATGAGCACCAAAAGGTGAAATACAGAAATGGGACCTCATAAGAATGAAGCAGTGTTTGCTCATCAAAGGGCTATATCAACAAAATGAAGAAACAACCTAGAGAATGGGAGAAAGTATCAGCGAGCTCTGGTAGCATAGTGCCTAAGGCACTTGACTGCTAACCAGAAGGCTGGCGGTTCAAACCCACCAGCCACTCCTGGGAAGGAAGGTTGGGCAATCTTACTTCCGTAGTGATACTAACTCGGAAACCCGAGGAGGGGTCGCTATGAGTCGGGGCCGATTTGACGGCAAATAACAACAACAACAACAACATATAGCTGATAAGATCCAAACTACGACTCAGCAACAAAACAAACAACACAATAAAAATGGACCAAGAACTTGAACAGGTATTTCACTGAAGGACATTTAAATGGACAAACACATGAAAATGTGGACAATGCCATTAGCTATTGCTGCTATTAGGGCTGTCGAGTGGATTTTGAGTCAGAGTGAGCCCGTGTGATGGAGTAAAACTGCCCATTGGGTTATCTTGGGTGTGATCTGTGTGAAAGCAGATCTCCAAGTCTTCCTTTTGTGGAGCTGCTAGGTGGATTCAAACCCACAACTTGTCAGTTAGCAGCAGAGGCGCATCTAAGGTATGGCAGGTAAGGTGATTGTCTCTTCAACTGAGGTCACTGAGCAGTTTCTATTATCCCAGAATAGCCCAAGGTCCTTCCGAAAGCCTCATTGGACACAGAGGCATAGATGGGGTGGGGGCAGGTGTAGAAGGGACACTTCCTCACAGGCACAAGTCCACAGGGCCTCAGACAAGGAGTGGAATGACATTTCAAAGTGCCACAAATATGAAGCAGCTGGAGAAAAAGGTGGAAGGTGTTTGGGCTGATGGGGCGTCGCTGCTGTCAAAGTCTATTCACCTTGTGGGGGTGGGGAGCAACTTACCGATTGCCCCTGGGCACTCATTATCCTCCCCATGCCTCTGCTGGGGCACAATGTCAGTGACTGCCATAGGCTTTTTTTCAGTAGATACACCTCTGCCCTCAGGGCTCCTTCATTAGCCGTGGGAGTTCTGGTGGTGTAGTGCCTAAGGCATTCATTTGACTGCTAACCACAAGGCTGCCAGTTCATACCCAGCAGCCCTTCCTCAGAGGAAGACTGGGCAATATACTTCCATAGGGATTCCACCTCAGAAACCCAAGGAGAGGTCGCTATGTGTCAAACAGATGGGATGGCAGTGAGCTTGGTTTGAGTTTTGGTCACCTGGCCTGTGTCTCACCTGGAGACACGTTGCGTCTCACCTCTTTCCTATTTCCTCTGCTGCATCTCCCTCCACCCACCCAGGAATCTTCTCCCCCAGCCAGGTCTTTCTTACAGCTTGCCCCAGACCACAAATTTCTTTGAAGAAATTTGATGAAGAAATGGCAGTGATCATTAAACCAAAAAGCCAACCTCAAACCAAAAAGCCATTGAGCAGATACCGATTCATGGCGACCCTATTGGACAGAGTAGAACTCACCCATAGGGTTTCTGAGGCTGTCAATCTTTACAGAAGCAAACTG